GTGTGTTGGGGGAGGCCCAGCCACCCATAGGGAAAAAAAAACCCCCCAAAAAAAAAAAAAAAGGGGGGCTATCCTGTGGCCTGGTGGTTAGGGGAGCTGGATTTCATCTGGCCAACCATGCAGTTTGAGTCCTGGATTCTGCAGCTTGAAAAACATGCTGGGTGCACGTGCATGTGCACCCAAAATCCTGAAAGGATGAAGGAACGAAGGAGAAAAAATTGCAGCATGACACGGCCCTGAGAGGAGGATTCCTTTTTCCCTTTCCCTCTCTCCTTCTCTCTGGCAAAAACACACATCTTATGGTAAAATTGTTTTAAAATAATAATTTCAAGACTTCAGTCAGAGTACTAAACCTCAAGTGAGAAGCCCTTCTGAGTATAGGGCCCTGGTCATGGAGCCAACTCTATCAGCCTAGAGAGAAAGAAAGGTGGAAGAGACTTGAGGAACTGAGAAAGAAACCAAGCATACCTCCCTGAGAGACTGCTAAAATGCTCAGTGAGCCAGACGGAGAGAACGAGCTCGAGCCTCTTCTGTTGGGTAGCCCTCTATTTCAATTGTTTTGTCTTTCTTGGAAGGCTCGTAGCTAGGTTATATCTTTTATTCTATTCTTACGGAAAGTTAGCTTGAAGCCTTCTCACTCTGAAGAAGCCAAGAGAGAATGAAGGCAGGGCCAGTATACTTTTTTTTTCTATCTTTTTTTTTTTTTTTTTTTTGAGAGAGATTTTCACTGTAGGGCACGTGCGCTCGCCAGACAGACAGAGAGAGACATAGAGACAGAAAGCGAGAAATCGCCCCCCAGGGGGGATGGTCACGCCGCAATCCCTTCTCCATTCTCCTCTCGGGATCTTGGGCACGCACGCACACGCGCCCGGCATGAGTTTTAAGCCACCGGGTCCGGGACACGAACCACGGTCGACTACGTGGGAGTCCAGCGACATAGCCATTACGCTAACTGCTGGTTCCCTTTCTATCTTTTTTATGAGCAAGAGAGAAGGAGAGAGAGAGAGACGCTGATAAGTATTTTTTGGCAAGGTCTGGCTGTGACACAATCTTCCCATTGAGCCTCCCAGGAAGCTAGGATTATAGGCATGCATTGCTGTGTCTGGCGTGTGTAGGCTGGTCTGGGAGTCAGACCTGGTTCTTCCATGTGATTTCAGAGTCATACAGTGGAACTCTGTCACTGCTGTGGTTTGGTCTTTAAGCCCTTCTCTATTTTTCCAGAAGGTATCCCTGCAGCTCACACTGTGGTCTAGTTCTCCTGGCAACACCGTAGGGTTACAAGACCCATGTCTCAGATGGTATTACGGGTTGAATTATATCCCCCAAAAGGATATGTTGAAGTCCTAACCCCCCAGTGCCTGTGAACATGGCCTCTTTTAGAAACAAGACCTTTGCAGATAATCAAATTAAGATGAAATCTCTAAGATGGGCCCTATTCCAATGTGAAGGTGTCCTTACAGGAAAAGGAAATTTGGTACAGAGACATACTCATCAAGAGAAGACTACATGAAGAGAAACAAGACAGTATTCTATAAAACAAGAAGTATATGGGAGCACCAGAAGCTAGGAGAGAGGCCTGGAATAGATCCTTCCCTAGTGCCTTCAGAGGGAACATGGCCCTGCCACCTTAATTTCAGACTTCTCTCCTCTAGACCTACTAGATAGTACATTTCTGTTCTTCTAAGCCACCCAGGTTGTGATTCTTTGTTACAACAGTTCTAGCAGGATCCTGGTGACTGAGTTAACAGACATAAAGTTTGAGATGTCTTGAAATATTCATTTTTTAATTTATAAATGTGTTTTTGAGAAGAACAGAGATGTGTGTGTGAATAAAAAGGTAAGATTACAGATCATTTTTATTTTCTTTTTGCTTGTCCCTGTTTCCTAAGTATCATATCCTAAAGATGTATGGCTTTTCTAGCAACACAGGTGAAAGCTGCTTTAAATATAGATATGTATGGTGCTGCAAATGGAACTTCCAAATTTCAAGGGTCTCCTGATACATTACTGCTTCTTAAATCAGAATGTCCTAAACTCTGGGCCCACATACTCAGGTGCCAGATGGACCTGTTTATTTGACTATTCCAAAATTACCTAGCACTCAGCATGCCCAAAGCAGAATTCATTATCGTCCTCATTAAAAATCTACTATTCCTAAGACTGGCGGGTGGCGTGGTGGTTAGGGCACTGGACATTCCACATGGCCAACTTCAGGTCCTGGACCTGGTGACTTACTTTCTCACTTTCCCTCTCTCTGTCTCTGTCTG